GTCATCATTTAAAAAGTCACTTGCTTAAAATAACTTTAAAAAATGCGATATGCAGCAATAACTGACATCTCTGCATTTTAAATGTTTTATACTTATCTCCGTTTATGTATCTTATGTCTTTCCTGAATGTAACATATTCCGTTATCAAAACCGAAATCAGAAGACCCTACCCGTCTGATTCAAACATAAGACATCATTATAGGAAAAGATGGTAATGTGCTCCGACGAGAACGGGATGAGAACATCATCAAAATTGCGAGACGTCTGTTACTACAATTGTCGACCCTCTCACGATCTCGACATTCATGACACATTCTCCCTACGATAGGAGAGAGAGGGAGTCTAGCAGTTGCCTTTTACGGGATTATAAAGATAAAAATGCAACCACAACATATGTTGAGGGAAACAGTTCTTCATCAGACACAAAGCTAGAAAAAAACGTCTCAGTCAAGGCTATAACGTCGAAATTAGCTTGAATCACATTATTATGAAAAGTCTTTATTTTAATACCTAAGATCAGATATCATTATTTATTTCTTATTTATTATACGCTAAGGGTAGGAGGAGGAGGAGAAGAGGGATCTAAATATAATTAATTTTGACTAAACTCCGTGACGTAGCGTCTTAGCATTGGCTGCAGGATCGAATTTCCTACAAATAATTGCACCGGGTCTGCATGTTTGTCCGTGTGCGATTTATGTATGCGTACTGCCTCTACTTTACGGCAGAAAATGCTAAAGTAGGGGTAGCTTTTTTATTTTATTAAAGAAATTATTATCGTTATATTCTTAGTACCTAATAAATACACACATTATTTATAGCTTTGCTTTATTTTCATAATAAATAATACTGTAATCGAACATTTTTCGACCAAAACTGATCTTATGATCAAAAAGTGGGTACGCATAGCGCTCTAAAGATAAGTACTTAACTGGTCAAACAAAACATTTCATTTTTCTGTAACAATTTATTTGAAGGGAAAAAAATAAAAATATTTAACTACTTTGCTTGATTTGAAGTACGCTATGGCTGTATCATATTGCGCAGGCAAATGAAGTGTATTGTTTTGTGCGTAAAAACACGGAGAAAACTGATTTTCTCCAAAATTTTACTTAGCTAGACCGAGTTATCGCTCCCGTAATGAGATCGATTACAAATAAATATTTATAACATACCTATAGCACTTTCTCACTCAAAACATTACTAATGGCGTTACAGAAATTGGATGTTATAACAGTATAGGTACCTGTAAGACGTATTGTAGTAACATCGTCAGTGTTTTATTTCTTATAACCTTATTCATGTTTTTATGACCTCATGAATTTAAAAAAAATACGTGTGGCACTCGGGGACTGCTGCGGTAAAGCTATTGCATAGCATTTTTATCAACTTACGCAATTATATTTATTTATTTATTTTATTTATGCAGTTTTTTTCTTTGTTTTTTTTTTCTTCTATATTAATTCAAGTTTAATAAACTTTTTGAGCGTGGTGACCGATAAGAAAACAATTTTTTTTCTTTTATTGAATAAATGAGAAGTTAAATACGTCAAGTCGCACGCACACAAACACCGTGCCGAAGTCTGCCGAACTGAAAGGACGTTAGACGAAGTAGGGTCGATGCGCCGGTAAGCCGGCCGGGTCTAGATTTCGGCCTTTGGCACGAGCTGATGCAGTAAATATGATTTAATAACAATTTTAATAAATATTATCGTACGAAATATAGTTTAATGCATTTGTAAATAGTTTCACTATATCTGGTAGCATTAATTAATCAGGTAAACAAAACACGCGATTTATAATAAATAGTTTAGTTTGACGCCGATAGTGAAGCTATCAAAACGGGTAAGATCGAGCAAAAAAAATAGTGGCGAGCGTTCCATTCAAAAGTAAGTTTCGTGCTGTATTTAATATAATTACTTAATATTGTGCTTATATTTCACTGTATAAATAACCTAATATAGTTATTTGATACTGATTATTATAATAATTTATTGATAAAGTTAATAAATTAAGTGGCCGAAAAGTGACACATAAAATTGTCCCATTAATTTGTTGTCGGCCATGCGGCCGAAAAGTAGCCTGAGTTTAGCCTAAATACTTTGTCTCTTTCATTTATTTGGATACGTACTATAACTCATCTTTCTTACTTATATTGAATCATAGCGTGCGTAGACCACTAACTTTCAGTTTTCGGCCACCAAGTACTGCAATTTGAACAGTTAGTGATGAAACAAAATACCCATTTCGGTCGTGACCGAAAACTGGATTGACTCTAAAATAATTACAATTTAGTTTTCGGCCAACTTAAAATTGTATGAAAGAATACGGCGGCGGAAAATGGAATGCTGTCTTAGTTTACGTTTACGGCCATTTCATCTTATCATATCAAATATTTTATTCACATTGCGTTTTGCGATTCAATAAGAAATTTTTTTCTTCAGATGGCTCCTCTTGGTTAGAGATGAGAATGGTTAGAGATGGTAACAGATTTTATTAAACTAAAATACTTATGAGGAAGTACAAAATACTCGTAAATGAGCATATTTGATTGCTGTATTTAAAAGATTTTATTATTAGATTATGATTCAAAGAAAAATAATTAATCATGGTTATTATTTTATATCAAAAACACACCCAAAAAGAAAAAAATAACGTCACGGTTAAAAAAATCGCTATCACCGATTGAGAAAACTAAATACACCGATTTCCCAAACCGTTTTGCCATTTTCTGATTTTACAAAACACTTTTAAGTTTATACCTAGTACCTCTTCTAATACAGTGGCCGAAAACTAAAATTCTTGTAGGCCGAAATCTAAAATTTGGGGCCGAAAACTAGCGTTTTGCATATTTTTGACATCAAAATTTATTATAAAAAAATAGATTTCTTTTGTAGCATCAATGAGTTATCAAAATGAAAACTACATTATATAAGCTATAAATTAACGTTGACAACTCCACTAAAAGGCCGAAAACCAGCGCAACGACCCTACGGCTTTCAAAGTCGCATTTTTTTTTGCGCCCGAAGCAAATATGGGCAACCCTCCGGAAAGCGGGGGAGGGAGGCGGTGAATGCTCATAGCATACCACGCAGCCGGCTGCGTGGTTATGTGGAGACTTTTACCCACTAAACACCGCCTTTTAGGAAATGGCTTAACGATCTGACTAGAGATCTCTAAGCCGTATACGAACGCGAGCCTCCTTGGCAGAAAGGAGGGCGCAACAAAGCCGCACCCACAGAGTACATTGTATACTTATATAAGGAAGCCGCACCGCTGTGTCGGGCGGGGTGGGGGGGTGTTAGGTTTATTTTCGTTACGGAATTTCTTGATTATCGCCGCGCTCAAAGCCCGCGATAAAAGCTATGCAATAGCTTAAAAGTGTCCATTATATGCAATTTTCGTTCCAGAACTCACTGTACCAATGGGTGCGTGATCATCGAGTCCATCACAAATACAGCGGAGGCTGATCCTCACAACGCAAACAGAGGTCTATTCTTTTCTCACATAGGATGGCTTATGATGAAAAAAAATTCTGAAGTACTTCTCCGAGGTAAACAAATGGACATGAGTGATATTGAAGCGGACCCTGTGCTTAGATTTTACAACAAGTAAGCATTACAACTTTGACCTAATGGATAAAAATTAAGTTATAAAATTTTAATTTACGGATTTATTTATTACTTTTAACTTTTTCAACCCCCGTTTAATTCCTTTATTTTCACAAGTCCACATCATCCAATTAGTTTATATAAGCTGAACTTAGGTCGGTTTTAAAACAAAATAAAACAATAAAATGTGTCAGGTTAAAGTTGTAAATTGTGACTGGTATAATTATTGAATAAATTTTTAAGTCGATTGCTAAACCTTTTAGAGAATGTCCCAAATATTAATTTTTGTGAAGGCATCACCCATAATTATTAAGCTTTTTTAACTTCCCGCTAAGAAAATTGAAAATTTTCAAAAATAGGGAAGTTATTGGTTTCACCCCGATTTTCGAAAATCGAGTTTTCATCAGATCTCGACGTTTTGAGATCCTAGGAAGATATTCTGACTAATTTCACGTGGACGTCCGTACGGATGTATGTGTGTGTGTGTGTGTGTGTGTGTGTGTGTGTGTGTGTGTGTGTGTGTGTGTGTGTGTGTGTGTGTATTGTGTGTGTTGTGTGTGTGTGTATGTAAACCTTTCATAACTTTTGAACGTCTTAATCGATTGAGATGCGGTTTACGGCGTTCTAAAGATCTCAATGTGAAATAGATTTGGTTATAATATGAACTGATTCGGACGAGCAGATTTTGAGAAATTTCAAAAATATATTGAATGAAAATAACAATCGGTTTATTCTATCGTGAGAATATATATATATATATATATATATATATATATATATATATATATATATATATATATATATATATATATATATATATGTAGTAAAAAAATATATATATATATATACAGAATATATAGAAATTTGGAGCGCTTTGCATTCGAAATTAACGGGAAGTTTCAGGGATGGCCTGCAGGTTCAACCTATTTTTGACCATGGTACACCCATGATACGAGTATAACATGATGAAAAAAAGTACTTAAAGGTCAAACGGACAAAAAGCCGAAACCAAAGCACTAGAAAACCCCCATATTTTAGTTAAGGTACTTAAATACATTAGGCTTCGGCATCATCGGTCATCGCTTTTCATGAGCCTAAGCCGCCCGTAACGCTCTTGTGAGATTATTATGACAATGTTGTTCTCACTATAAAGATATATTGTATACGCCAAAGTTAACAGACGAAACTGACTGTACTCAACTGGGAAATAAACTGCTTCCCGACATTCTCTTAAATATATCGTTCCCTATCAATCAGTTGTCTGAACATATTCGTCAATCAAAAAAAAGCTAAATTATTCTCCCTTATACTTCAGTTACATCAAGACAATGTTTTCTTAGGTATTTCAATTACTTCAAGATAATGCTTTGCTACGTGATACCAACTACAATGAGCATATGGTTGTGGGGAGAAAACTGGCGTTGCGCTGTAGCTTGGCAGTGCTTCATACGATTCCTGAGCATGTTCCACAGTGAACTTACAGTTAATAGCTTAGCACATGCCTATGGATACAAACCTTATAACAAGTATGTATACCGTATCGAACTAAAAATCTTTTTAATAATGGATTATAATACTGTTCTTTTTTTGGTCACCGATAGTACCTATACTATGTATTATGATAATTCAAAATGCTAACAATTAGTTAATATATTGTACATAAAACTGTATGCTGACAAAACGTGTAGTGGCGGTGAAAGAATATCCACTACCCCATATCGTCCCATGGGTGTCGTAAGAGGCGTCAGAGGGAAATTGAAACAGGTGATGGGCAGCCGCATCTTCCTGATAACAACTCAAAATTATAAAAAAAACTGTGGTTGACAACCCGCTCGCCATGCGTGGCAATGATGCCAAAATCCCCCATAGAATACTATAATACACAATAGAATGGCTGTCAACCTTACTTCGTGGGAGGATTGGCGTCGCCGGGAGCACACATACAAGCAATCGCGTTATGACTACTACAAACACATTTTAGACTTTGATTAATGTTTTTGACACATAAATGTTTCTTTATTTTTGTTTCTAATATTCACAAAATATAAATAGTTTGGCCTGGTTGTAGAATATGTCTCCTTTATTTAAATTCGATTTCCCGCTGGCTTTCGACATGATTTTATTATAGCACAATTTGCCATTTTTTAAATAATTTTCATGCGCGACGCTTGACACGAAAATTGGAAACCACTGATTGTGTTGACATTTATACGTGTAAATATACGTATTAGTGACATGTTAGTGGCTACACGGGCTCCGCCCACTCCCCCCGTTCTATTATGTATGTATTATAGTATTCTATGCAATCCCCCCTATGAGGGTATACGAGGCATTATGGGTGAGGCCTATGTTCAGCAGTGGACTTTTATAGGCTGTGCTGATGATAGAAAACTAAAGTGCTGTGCTGATGAAAACTAAACTAAAGTGACAAACAAGCTTACATTCCACCTGACAGTAAGTAGCTACTGCGCTCCATGGACACCTTCAGTCAACTTCAAACAAAGAAAAAATTCATGGTCTCATCTGAGAACTAAGATTGAATATCTGAGCCTATAACTATACTGCCTATCTACACTCCAGACCAGAACCCAGCATTGCAGATACTGGCGGAAGAAAAAGTCCTACAAACTAGTTAAAACTTTAAATTTAAAAATATAAGCTGGAAAAAGGATTCAATTTAATTATAGTCAGTTAGGTCTAGTCGATTTCTCACTATGTACCTTATATTTATCCTCGAAAATAAAGTTTATTGTTTATTATTGTACAAGTTTATATTGTACTCGGTATTAATATTTGTTAATTATTACCTAAATACTCCATTATTCGTTATATCAGTGTAAATACTGCAGTAATCTAACGCAGTTTATACTTCTTTTTTTAGGAATATAGTCCCGAGAGAAAATCGTTTTGTTGCGACATGCACGTTTGGAGAGGGGTGGCATAATTACCATCATGCTTTCCCTTTTGATTATAAAGCTGCCGAACATTTTGATACATTCAACTTATGCACTACATTTATAAACATTTTTAAAAGAATTGGATGGGCGTATGATCTTCGTGAAGCGACGCCTGAAATGATTAATGGAATAGCGAAAAGACTGGGTGATGGAACTCCTTTGCACTTTCCTATGCCAATACAATCTGAAAACTAAACAACCGAAGTAACGAAGTGAACCAAGAGGTTAATCAAGCAAAAGTTTAATATTTTATTCACCAATTATATTTATTACTTTAATCTATTTGTTTCAATAATTCCCTAAGGGGGCTGTATATTTCTGTATGTTTATGATCTCCCGAACTTATTTGCTGAAATCAACACGACTGGCTTATCGATCGGTGTCCCGCACTATAGCGCGGCTTGTTCGTCGCCAATATGTAATTTAAACTTAACATATGCGAGTGGGCAAGTTACTGCTAACTCAAAGAACTTGAAGACTTGCTTGAACATAAATCTCCTCCATAGATTAATATGGAAATCTATGTAGGAGATCTATGTACGTTATATTTTAATATTTAACCGTATCATAGATCTCATTTTAACTTATCTAAGTGAACATGTAGCTTGTAGACTAGTGTAAAAGTAATAAGTTACACATATTATTTTGCTATGCACAGACATCTTCTTATTTTTAAGATGGTTTTAAGGCAAGGAAAATTCTTTACATTTTTTATTCACTCAAAAGTTCACTGCTATACTAACGTCTCCTCCATAGATTGCCTCAAAATGAGATAATTGTCATAGGTGGTGGCGACACACACGGTCGGTTCAACTGATCATTCCAACTGATCAGTTCAAATTAGAGCTGTTTATATTTTTTAAAATAACGGATTTTCGATAGGTATATCGATAATTATAAATATATCAATATCGGAGTGTTATATATATGTCGCAGGAATATTGTCAAAGCCGTAATATTACAATTTCACTAGTGATATTAGAATTGAACGGTATATTATCTATCGACTTCATTTCTTACAATTTAACGGGCGCACTTCTTCGAATATAATCGTTTATAACTTTTTCAAAGCATTAAACGACATTTATATTTTTTTGTTAATCTACACAAAAAATTTAAAAAACTATTTCAATTTAAAAAATCACTTATTTGGTTATTTATCAATTTTTTAGCGAAGCAAGCTCGGGACTTAGGCCATCCGTTCTCGGACTTGTTAGGTTAGAAGGAGATGGCAGGGTCGAGTGAGCGAGCGATTAGGGAGGAATAGGCTCCCACGAAGCGGTGCTCCGTCGACAGGGCCCGTTAAATTGTAAGAAATGAAGTCGATTGCTAATCTACCATTCAATTATATTACATTTTATTATATATATATATATATATATATATATATATATATATATATATATATATATATATATATATATGTGTGTGTGTGTGTGTGTGTTGAGCCGTGATATTACAATTTCACTAGTGAAATTGTAATATCACGGCTTTGACAATATACCTGCGACATATATAAGTTTATTTATCGATATATCGAAAATCCGATATTTAAAAAAATATCAACAGTCCTAGTTTGAACTGATCAGTCGAAACAATCAGTTGAACTAACCATGTGTGTCGTCCATTAGAATCGGAGTTTTTAATTACTAGCATTGAGTTTTTATTATTAAGATGCTACTATCTAACTCCTGTTTGAGTTTCTCTCTACACGACAGTGACGACACCCACGGAATGATATGGAGTAGTGAAATTTGAAAGGCTCATTAACCTTTATTTAGTTGAAACCAATCATGTCAGCCTCGAGCTCAGACGCAGAGTAGCCAGCCTGTCGTTATTTAGGAATTACATGCTTTAATCCTTCCCTCTCTTTTCCACCATCGAACAACCAGCCGCTCGGCTGGTCTTCACCCCTTTGTGGTCGATGTTCCACACGTTAGAACCAAACGATTTGCTATATTTTTTGTAATACGTACAGCAAAGGAGTGGAATAATTTGCCGGCGTCTGTCTTACCGTCCGAATACAATCTGAGCGTCATCAAGGCAAGAGTGAATAGGTTTTTATGGAATAGGAGTGAATGGGGTCACTTACATCACCACTTGCCAACGGGTGGAATTGTCGTCAAGCACTGGCTTGTAATAAGTAAAAATAAAATTCATTAATAACAGCCAATCAAAGTGAGCCGTGGTAGCTCAGATGGTTAGCGCGGTAAAAGAAAACACCACCTGCATGTCTGAGAAATAAGAAAAAAAATATTTCGAAGACATGTGAAGTTCGCCAACACGCATTGGGGCAGCGCGGCGGACAATTCCTTGCCCTAAAACCCTCTCAGTAATTAGCGTAGGCCTGTACCCAGCAGTGGGAAGTATATAGGTGGTAACTTTAACTTTTTACCTTTAAAGTCTACTACTGAACATAAGGCTCTCCAAAGCATTGGGAGGTATATAGTTTCCACGTTTGTCTAACAAGTTGGTCAGGTCCCACAATTTTTTTTATTGTTTAGTTGTTATCAGAAAGATGCTAAAACCAAGGGACGATATGATGTAATGAATATTTTTACACGACAACTGCACAGTACTTTACATGTCCTTAATTATTTCTGTAAGCTCTGACAGCGCGCGACATGTTATACTCCCGTTCGCTCGGGACCGTAATGGCGGCAAAATTTGAAAATTAGCAAATTTTTTGCTATATTGCAAATTTTGCTATATTTTCACTTTGAGACAATATTTATGGATAAAACTTACAGGATTTCTTGTTGAATGTATAAACTATCGAATAAAATTATTTTTGGTTGCTAGAAATTGTAATAAAATACGTAAATTACCCTGTATAGCATAGTAGTAGCATGTACTTCAATTTTAGTGACAAAATTACTACTAATTTGAATTCTACACTTTTGTTTTTGGAGAAATTTATATGAAAATGTTTGGAAATATGTATATTTTCATGTTTTATGTGTTTCCATTCGTTACTCATACCAAAATATAAAATATAAAGAAATTAAAAAAAATTAAATATTAATATTTTATCTGTGTGACATTTAGAACAATATTTCTAAAATAGTTTTGTGTGAATTTGAAATAAATACAACGTCAAGTTATTTGAAATATGTAAGAAAACTATTTTTACTTACATTTTACACTAAAAATAAATGAGAATGTGAAAAATACCACATTTATGACCCAGCCGCCATAATTGGCCTTCCAGATTTTGAAGCACTTTTGGCAATTTACTTTTCACTTTTTATACCACAAATTATATATATATGTGTTCACTATATTACAAGGAATATAAAAAAGTATAATACTTTCGTTTTTAGTCCAGACACAAATATAAAATTCTATAAAAAAGACGGAACACCTTTATCAAAACGGCACGTGGAACGCCGAAAGTTCAGAGTGATTTCTTTTTTTTTTTTCTAAGAAACATTGCCAGGTTATGGTTTAAAATAAAAGAGCATATCTTTGTCTTTGATACTAATATCTATTGCATAGTGTCTTTGGTTTTGTTTAAAACGAAAAAATAGTTTTTTCATAGGTAGACATGTTTACATAATTCTGATCTAATTCGATCACTACTTGGCGGGCGTAAGGTTGGTATTGCGCGATCTAATGTGAGCAGGGCTTGGTGTAAATAAAAACACGTGATGATCAATAAAAAAATTGCAATTAACAAATTTGTCAGTGCCAACGTTTGATCTCGTACTGTATAATTTTAAAAAGAGTGTTCATCGCTCAACTTTGCCCCGACTCTTTAAACAATTAGTGCACAGTAACTTGCCATAAATGTTTCTACGAAATTAAAATATTAAACAATACATAACTTATTATGTGATAATAAATACATGTTTGAAATTTGTTAAACTTTCAAGCAATTTGTATAGTTAAACCACTGACCTCTATATATACAAGAGTTAAACATTTAACATGATTACTTATTACATGCTTCACTTCCTCAAATACATAAAGATGATCAAAAATATTGGAATGAAAATTAAATCGTATTACAGGAGCACAGATCAAATTAGTAGTGTCTCATAATGTAATTCAGCTAGATTCTACAGGATAACGGCAAGACGAACGATTCTGCCAAGATTTTAAATAACTACAGGATATTTGCACACTACTAACGACACCGTGTTAACCGAAAACAGCAGGAAAAATCTTTACTTTATTATAAATTATAATATAATGTCCTCCAGCCCGAATTTCGACCACGGAGGCCTGCCTCAACGGAGGCTAGCCATCGGCGCAGGACAAGATTATAGTGCCCAAGTGGATGTGCAAGCACAGGTGCACTCTCTCTTCGCTCACTCTCATAACCCGATGGGACGGTAAACCGACACGACCGGAGAGATATCAGACGCAGGACCAACGGCTTATGTGCTTTACGAGACACGGGGGTGAGACACCTCCAACTTCCTGACTCCGGGCAACTACTAAGAATTCTTGACGGAAAAACTCAATAATTAATTTTTTGGCCCGACCCGGGATTTGAACCCTGGACCTCATGATCAGCAGTCGCACTACTACAACCGCTAGACCAACGAGGCAGTCAATAAATTATATCAGAGCACTTTCAATTTTGTCAAGCCTAATTAATTAAAAAAAAAATATTACACGCAAGTGTTTTATATTTTCAAACTAAAATTAAGCTTTGATAAATTAATAAAAAAGTAATTTCCATTAGGTTTACGGGATCATAAAACAAAACTCCATCCGAAACTACGTAATTGGATCCGGCATACTTTACCTTCGGCACAGTTCGTGAGGTTATAAAATAAAACAACAAGCTCAAAATTGAACAGTATCTGCCCTAGGGATCGTCAACAAATTTTCTTATAAAATTTGAGCTTAAAGGAAAGACAATTTATTTGGAAAAAACCTCTAATAAATGGACGAGATAAACTTGCTATTCTTAATGTATTTAATACCTTTTATGATAAATTGAAATTGAATAAAACTATTATGTCAGTAACTGTTCTTCTGAGTATGATGATTACATTTTATTTTCTGGATCATATTGATAGACCTATGTCTCGTTACCAGTGACGATTTCTTACACACGCCTAGATGCTTCGTTTTCAAAACGTAGACGCATTTCATGTCACCAATCTACACGATTCTGTTTTTCGCTTCGGAGAGTAAACGAGGGATCCATCGACAACAAAGCTTTCTCACACCAAGATGTTGATGTAGGGTGGCATTAATGCTCCTCGAACTAATGCCTACAATCTTTTCGATGTCCGTATAAGTGATTCGTGGGTATTCTCGTACCAACAATTCAGTAGTCTATACATTTTCTGCCGTTACTGCTGTTTGCGGGGCCCCGGTTCTTTGGTCATCTTTAAGGTTAGTTTTACCCCTTTTGCAAACTAAGCTTCAGCAAACTAAGTATGTCAAAAGTATACAAAAAATTTTTACCCCGATTCTACACTAACAAGAGATAAAATTAACGTATCCCTATGCCAGAATTTTACAGGAGATAAAATAGGAGGTAAACTTAACCCTGCAATTATTGCCATTATAAAAAAAATACAAAATACATCAAAATTGATGTCTAGGTACTCTAAATTTAATACTCTAAATCATTTATTTTTATTTTTAAAAGACATAAGAATTAGATGCACTGAAACTTGTATTTACCTACACAAGAGGCTAATTAAAGTATATTGCTCCCCACATTCTAATGATGGCCCCAATAACTTGGGTCAAGTATTTGCTGATTATTTCTTGTTTGAACAATATCCATTTCATGGTCTCGACTCTCTGACATCTGCCAAGAGACTGAAAAATGTAAAGTACCTACCTAGAAAAAAAATGTTTAGATAAGTTAGCCATATGTATTGATTGCAAATTTGCGATGTTTTGCACAGGGTGGTTGTAACAGATGATTACTTTAATATGCACTGGTAGTCCATCCACAGAATTAATAGGCTTTAAATCCTCATAAACTTCTTTACACAAATACAAAACACAACCTTTGAGCATCCGAAACCTTCGTATAAATTCATTGTTGGGGAATTCCAATGGATTAAGTACTCTGATCACGTATCAATCGCCGATGTAATTTTCTTTCATGTTTTTCAAATTCTGATACGTAAATGTAGTTGCAGTAGGCTCGAGACATCTTTTTGGTATTAAAATGGTTTGAAGATAAATTTAAACCCACGTTTCGAAGTGAAATTGTCCCTTTCAAATGTCAAAAGAGGATACTTTTTCTCTTTCCTTTGACCCCATGCTACGGACGAGGGGATATATGTCTACTCTTTCTGTCAAACGGATATGTGCTATAAGGATAAGGTAATTTTATCTCTTGTCAGTGAACACAATCGGGGTTATAATTTTTGCCCATGCTCGCAGGGTGGATAAAACTGAGCAAGTAATAAAAATTTTATCCTCTCCCCGTGGATATATTGTCTCCTGCCCATGCTTGCCCGGCTGAAAGATATACCTTCTTATCCTTATGCGGCTTTCCGCAGCCGTCATCCGCTCGCCCAGATGACAAAGAATCGTACTTCACTGCCCTATGCACTGCCTGAGGAAGTCTCTAACTGTACAGTCAATCTTGTACAGCTCGAGGACCCTCTTTAGTCACGTATGGGGCACCGAGTCGAAATCCTTTCTGTAGTCAATCTAGGCGGCGGAGTAGTTCCCGACGCTTGCGTTTTACCACTTTCCCAATGATCGCGTCAATAAGGGATGATTCCTTGGTTCCTCGACCACCGCCCCGAAATCCATTTTGAGCGCGCGACATCGCCTGATTTGACTGCAGATGACGAGTGATTCTCGCGCTCAAAATGGATGTTAGTGTCTTGTATATGGTCGGTAGACACGTGATGGGGCGGTATTGGCTCATGTCTGTGGTACCCTGGTCTTTAGGAACCAAACGAGTGGTCCCAGTAGTGAAGAGGCTCGTGAGCGACTTCTGGTTGAGAGCCTCTTGAAACTGTCGGACGAGTACAGCGTGACACACCACGAACCCCTTAAACCATTAGTGATACAGCCCGTCAAGCCCCGGACTTTTCCAGTTCGAGGCCCTACGGACCGCCTCAGCTACGTCATCCGACGTTATGATGATGGGGTCCATGGGCATAATACCCGCACACTGACCCACCACAACTTGCGACCAAGGGCCCTCGCTCTGGTTTACGGTCTCTGATCACAGGCTGCGTCAAAATGCGACAATGTCGGCCTGATTCGGTGCTGGCCCCGTTCCACTTACCATTCATTGGTCGCTCTAATGATTCATAGAAACTCCTCTGATCACTCTGAAAGAGTCGACAATCTGACATTTGACTGGGACAATCTGACATTTGTCTTAGCAAATGCCATACTGACGGTGAGCACAATCCTTGACCTATTATTGCCTGATCTGAAGCATGTCAGTCTGTCGATAAGAGCCATAGCCTTTGCGATACGTTATTTGAGCGCAAGATATACCGAACTCGGTCTGCCAAGTTTTGCTCGGTGACAGTTAAAGATGGCTCCAGCTCAGCAAAAAGTCGATGCATGCTTGTGCGATACGCAAAACCTCCAATTTCGCCCCCATTCGCCCCAAAATACGCCCTTAATGCATTGCTATTTATAAGGATTGTCCAACGCATACGACGTACTTCACCAGTGACGGGTGCCGATTGCTGGGCCTGCGAAGATCCTGCCGACACCAAGCCAGCTAGTGGGGATGATAGATGCGAGGGGCTGCTGGGTGGCCGTGCAGCACCTCGCGCTCGGCTGGCGTTTTGCATGATGTCGCGTTCATCACCAGCTCCAGACGCACCTTGGTGACCACCAAGCAGCGGCCCTTTGCGTGTTCTTCCAATTTCCATCATCCGTTTTAGTGGGCGCCGTTTAACGGGATACGCTCACACCGGCACCGTTTCGTGGTGAGGTTATGTGCACCAGCGGGTCTTTGCACCTTCAACTTTTGCCAAGGCACGGCACTAACACCTTTTGGCAAGGTGCTGACTGACTGCGCTGACGTAGCGGTTTTGTCACATAACCGTTACGTCAGCGGGCGATGGGATTTACTTATTACTATTATCTACATTAGTGCTACAAGAATTAAGATTAAAATCACCAATACGGTCATATTTGAATAAGCACATAAAGCATTTTCTCTGTAAGTTAGAACATCAATATACTGATAACCGCCATAATTCGGTGGTCGGAACTGGTGTTCCGACCTAAGCTAAGTGGTCACCACACCACGTAAAACTTTACATGTTTGCAGTTTAGAAGTACGAATACTAGTTCTTTATCTGGTGACATACCGTCAATATTCGAAATCACCTGAACCTCGTAGCTATCACGCACGGCCAACAATACTCCTCCCCAAACAATGTCACCTAACCTATCTCTTCCAACCACAACATATGTTGAGGGAAACAGTTCTTCATCAGACACAAAGCTAGAAAAAAACGTCTCAGTCAAGGCTATAATGTCGAAATTAGCTTGTATCACATTATTATGAAAAGTCTTTATTTTAATACCTAAGATGTCAGATATCATTATTTATTTCTTATTTATTATACGCTAAGGAGTATGTTAGGGCTGAATCTGAGTGACAGGGTGAGAAACTGTGTGATAAAAGACGAGTGTGGATTGCAAGATGATGCGGTGACCAGGATTAAGAAAGGAATGCTTCGGTGGTTTGGTCATGTAGAAAGAATAAATGAGGAAAGACTGACAAAGCAAATTTATGTTTCAGAAGTGAATGGAAGAGTCGGAAAGGGACGTCCTGGCAAAAGTTTTTCTTACGTGGTAGAGCCATGCTGCAGATATAAAGGTAGCACGGTCGGCTCACCAGGGAAGGACCACGTCTCACAAACCAGCGTGAAAAGTCCGATTCGTTATAAAACCGGCGACCCTTTTACTGGAAACGAGGCATTCCATCTCAGTCCTCACGGGTGACAATTCATCTGCATTTTGATTTTTAATGGAGGATAGATGTAGATGTCTATGGGCCGCAGCAACCACTTACCATCAGGTGGACTGTGTGCTCGTTTGTCACCCTATTCTATAAAAAAAAAGTTTGTAGACCAAATTGGCGATATATTAAAAATGGGCCAAATTAAGAGTACCCACCGTCAAGCATGTATGCGTGGGTATATGGATGTGGAGGAGGCGGGAGAGGTATGTCAGGATCGTGCTAAATGGAAGTCTGTAGTATCTGCCTACCCCTCTGGGTGACATGCGTGAGTGTTTATGTTATGTTATGTTATTTATTAAATAAAGTTTTACATTTTAAGAAGACCGATCACATTTCTACAGCCTACTTTAAAAACCATCAAATAGCTTTTAGCAGAAGCAAAGTGTATATTGTGGACAAAATGTGTTTGATTTAAATTTGCACAAGGTGATTGTCTTGAAAGTTTATTAAGACACCTTTTCATGCAACATATGGGCCATGAGAATCTATTAAGCATTTCGTAATTTCGTGTCGATATCCCCTTACAACATTGTATGAGAATGTGTCATTGTTTATTTAAATTCCCAGTACGACCACAATTAGTGTAATTGCGATCCGATCGTGTAAAAAATATGTCCGAAAAAGTGAACAAAACGCCGTCAGTATCTTTAAGTGAAGTTTTGTGTGCATTTGAAAAACAATTCGGCTTTAAAAATAAAATAAAGTGGGCGACTGCTGTTCCAATAGTTTTATATCACTTACTTGCAATTTATTGGTGTTTCCATTACAGTTTTCCTGTTAAATGGCAGACAGTATTTTTCGGTACATCTCATATGATTTTAATACTATATTTAACATATACTTGTGGTTATTGTTTATTAAAATAATATAAAAAGTCCAACATTTTTGCAGCTTCTGTAATGTATATTTTGAGCGGTTTTGGAATCACGGGTGGCGCTCATCGATTGTGGACCCATAAAGCTTACAAAGCAACGTTACCCATGAAACTCTTTCTCCTCGCTTGTTTCGCCAGTGCTGGTCAGGTAACAAAATTGATATGTTCTTAATCAGCTTATCCATTTTGTACAGACAGAAACGTTACAGTTCGTACCCTAAATTGTGTTGGATTGTGATCTTTAGTATGTGTATACTTCTTCTTAGGCATTTCCTAACCCGCAAAAATATGAAAGGAAAGAATCTGTTAAACCGGTAAGATAACTGTTCTTCCTTAAACTTAATTTAATATTTACGTACCTTTTGTTACGTTAGGTAACTTTGGTAAAACAACTTTAAATAGTCATCATTTAAACAGTCACTTGCTTAAAATAACTTTAAAAAATGCGATATGCAGCAGTAACTGACTCTCTGCATTTTAACTGTTTTATACTTATCTCCGTTTATGTATCTTATGTCTTTCCTGAATGTAACACATTCCGTTATCAAAACCGAAATCAGAAGACCCTACCCGTCTGATTCAAACATAAGACATCATTATAGGAAAAGATGGTAATGTGCTCCGACAAGAACGGGATGAGAACATCATCAAAAGTGCGAGACGTCTGTTACTGCAATTGTCGACCCTCTCACGATCTCGACGTTCATGACACATTCTCCCTACGATAGGAGAGAGAGGGAGTCTAGCAGTTGCCTTTTACGGGATTATAAAGATAAAAATGCAACGAGGGATCTAAATATAATTAATTTTGACTAAACTCCGTGACGTAGCGTCTTAGCATTGGCTGCAGAATCGAATTTCCTACAAATAATTGCACCGGGTCTGTATGTTTGTCCTTGTGCGATTTATGTATGTAGTACACATCTCTACTTTACGGCAGAAAATGCTAAAGTAGGGGTAGCTTTTTTATTTTATTAAAGAAAGTATTATCGTTATATTCTTAGTACCTAATAAATACACACATTATTTATAGCTTTTCTTTATTTTCATAATAAATAATACTGTAATCGAACATTTTTCGACCAAAATTGATCTTATGATCAAAAAGTGGGTACGCATAGCGCTCTAAACATAAGTACTTAACTGGTCAAACAAAACATTTCATTTTTCTGTAACAATTTATTTGAAGGGAAAAAAAATAAAAATATTTAACTACTTTGCTTGATTTGAATTACGCTATGGCTGTATCATATTGCGCAGGCAAATCAAGTGTATTGTTTTGTGCGTAAAAACACGGAGAAAACTGATTTTCTCCAAAATTTTACTTAGCTAGACCGAGTTATCGCTCCCGTAATGAGAACGATTACAAACAAATATTTATAACATACCTACCTGTAAGGCGTATTGTAGTAACATCGTCAGTGTTTTATTTCTTATAACCTTATTCATGTTTTTATGACCTCATGAATTTAAAAAAAATACGTGTGGCACTCGGGGACTGCCGCGGTAAAGCTATTGCATAGCATTTTTATCAACTTACGCAATTATAGTTATTTATTTATTTTATTTATGCAGTTTTTTTCTTTGTTTTTTTTTTCTTATATATTAATTCAAGTTTAATAAACTTTTTGAGCGTGGTGACCGATAAGAAAACAATTTTTTTCTTTTATTGAATAAATGAGAAGTTAAATACGTCAAGTCGCACGCACACAAACACCGTGCCGAAGTCTGCCGAACTGAAAGGACGTTAGACGATGTACGGCTTTCAAAGCCGCACCCACAGAGTACATTGTACACTTATATAAGGAAGCCGCACCGCTGTGCCGGTCGGAGTGGGGGGTGTTAGGTTTATTTTCGTTACGGAATTTCTTGATTATCGCCGCGCTCAAAACCCGCGATAAAAGCTATGCAATAGCTTAAAAGTGTCCATTATATGCAATTTTCGTTCCAGAACTCACTGTATCAATGGGTGCGTGATCATCGAGTCCATCACAAATACAGCGATACGGAGGCTGACCCTCACAACGCAAACAGAGGTCTATTCTTTTCTCACATAGGATGGCTTATGATGAAAAAAAATTCTGAAGTACTTCTCCGAGGTAAACAAATGGACATGAGTGATATTGAAGCGGATCCTGTGCTTAGATTTTACAACAAGTAAGCATTACAACTTTGACCTAATGGATAAAAATTAAGTTATAAAATTTTAATTTACGGATTTATTTATTACTTTTAACTTTTTCAACCCCCGTTTAATTCCTTTATTTTCACAAGTCCACATCGTCCAATTAGTTTATATAAGCTGAACTTAGGTCGGTTTTTAAACAAAATAAAACAATAAAATGTGTCAGGTTAAAGTTGTAAATTAAGACTGGTATAATTATTGCATAAATTTTTAAGTCGATTGCTAAACCTTTTAGAGAATGTCCCAAATATTAATTTTTGTGTAGGCATCACCCATAATTATTAAGCTTTTTTAACTTCCCGCTAAGAAAATCGAAAATTTTAAAAAAACCCTTAAAAAAAGGTTACCCCAGAAAAACAAAGTTTTTTTTTTTTTTTTTTTTTTTTTTTTTTTTGTAAGTATGTAAACCTTTCATAACTTTGAACGTCTTGATCGAATGAGATGCATTTTCCGGCGTTCTAAAGATCTCAATGTAAAATAGATTTGGTGATAATATGAACTGATTCGGACGAGCAGATTTTGAGAAATCTCAAAAATATATTGAATGAAAATAACAATCGGTTCATTCGTTCGTGAGACATATATATATATACATATATATATATATATATATATATATATATATATATATATATATATATATATAGAAATTTGGAGCGCTTTGCATTCGAAATTAACGGGAAGTTTCTGGATGGCCTGCAGGGTCAACCTATTTTTGTCCATGGTACACCCATGATACGAGTATAACCTGATGAAAAAAAGTACTTAAAGGTCAAACGGACAAAAAGCCGACACCAAAGCACTAGGGCTTAGGATTTTTTGGTGTTATTTGCTATTAGGTGATTTCCAGGTGCTGATCCGAACGAAGGTTCTGCATTAGTTTATATAAGGTAAGATGATCCTGCCATAAAATTGTTTGGTGAGGGCACCAGACAATTTTGTGGCGATTCGGGATGCACAACAACCCCATATTTTAGTTAAGGTACTTAAATACATTAGGCTTCGGCATCATCGGTCATCGCTTTTCATGAGCCTAAGCCGCCCGTAACGCTCTTGTCAGATTATTATGACAATGTTGTTCTCACTATAAAGATATATTGTATACGCCAAGGTTAACAGACGAAACTGACTGTACTCAACTGGGAAATAAACTGCTTCCCGACATTCTCTTAAATATATCATTCCCTATCAATCAGTTGTCTGAACATATTCGTCAATCAAAAAAAAGCTAAATTATTCTCCCTTATACTTCAGTTACATCAAGACAATGCTTTCTTAGGTATTTCAATTACTTCAAGATAATGCTTTGCTACGTGATACCAACTACAATGAGCATATGGTTGTGGGGAGAAAACTGGCGTTGCGCTGTAGCTTGGCAGTGCTTCATACGATTCCTGAGCATGTTCCACAGTGAACTTACAGTTAATAGCTTAGCACATGCCTATGGATACAAACCTTATAACAAGTATGTATACCGTATCGAACTAAAAATCTTTTTAATAATGGATTATGATACTGTTCTTTTTTTGGTCACCGATAGTACCTATACTATGTATTATGACAATTAAAAATGCTAACAATTAGTTAATATATTGTACAGAAAACTGTATACTGACAAAACGTGTAGTGGCGGTGAAAGAATATCCACTACCTCATATCGTCCCGTGGGTGTCGTAAGAGGCGTCAGAGGGAAATTGAAACAGGTGATGGGCAGCCGCATCTTCCTGATAACAACTAAAAATTATTAAAAAAAACTGTGGTTGACAACCCGCTCGCCATGCGTGGCAATGATGCCAAAATCCCCCATAGAATACTATAATACACAATAGAATGGCTGTCAACCTTACTTCGTAGGAGGATTGGCGTCGCCGGGAGCACACATACAAGCAATCACGTTATGACTACTACAAACACATTTTAGACTTTTGATTAATGTTTTTGACACATAAATGTTTCTTTATTTTTGTTTCTAATATTCACAAAATATAAATAGTTTGGCCTGGTTGTAGAATATATCTCCTTTATTTAAATTCGATTTCCCGTTGGCTTTCGACACGATTTTATTATAGCACAATTTGCCATTTTTTTATAATTTGCATGCAGCGACGCTTGACACGAAAATTGGAAACGATTGATTGTGTTGCCATTTATACGTGTAAATATACGTGTTAGTGGCATGTTAGTAGCTACACGGGCTCCGCCCACTCCCCCGTTCTATTATGTATGTATTATAGTATTCTATGCAACCCCCCCTATGAGGGTATACGAGGCAATATGGGTGAGGCCTATGTTAAGCAGTGGACTTTTATAGGCTGTGCTGATGATAGAAAACTAAACTAAAGTGACAAACAAGCTTACATTCCACCTGACAGTAAGTAGCTACTGCGCTCCATGGACACCTTCAAACGTCAACTTCAAACAAAGATAAAATTCATGGTCACATCTGGGAACTAAGATTGAATATCTGAGCCTATAACTATACTGCCTATCTACACTCCAGACCAGAACCCAGCATTGCAGATACTGGCGGATAAAAAAGTCCTACAAACTAGTTAAAACTTTAAATTTAAAAATATAAGCTGGAAAAAGGATTCAATTTAATTATAGTCAGTTAGGTCTAGTCGATTTCTCACTATGTACCTTATATTTATCCTCGAAAATAAAGTTTATTGTTTATTATTGTACAAGTTTATATTGTACTCGGTATTAATATTTGTTAATTATTACCTAAATACTCCATTATTCGTTATATCAGTGTAAATACTGCAGTAATCTAACGCAGTTTATACTTCTTTTTTTAGGAATATAGTCCCGAGAGAAAATCGTTTTGTTGCGACATGCACGTTTGGAGAGGGGTGGCATAATTACCATCATGCTTTCCCTTTTGATTATAAAGCTGCCGAACATTTTGATACATTCAACTTATGCACCACATTTATAAACATTTTTAAAAGAATTGGATGGGCGTATGATCTTCGTGAAGCGACGCCTGAAATGATTAATGGAATAGCGAAAAGACTGGGTGATGGAACGCCTTTGCACTTTCCTATGCCAATACAATCTGAAAACTAAACAACCAAAGTAACGAAGTGAACCAAGAGGTTAATCAAGCAAAAGTTTAATATTTTATTCACCAATTATAATTATTACTTTAATCTATTTGTTTCAATAATTCCCTAAGGGGGGCTGTATATTTCTGTATGTTTATGATCTCCAGAACTTATTTGCTGAAATCAACACGACTGGCTTATCGATCGGTGTCCCGCACTATAGCGCTGCTTGTTCGTCGCCAATATGTAATTTAAACTTAACATATGCGAGTGGGCAAGTTACTGCTAAGTCCACAAGAACTTGAAGACTTGCTTGAACATAAATCTCCTCCATAGATTAATATGGAAATCTATGTAGGAGATCCATGTACGTTATATTTTAATATTTAACCGTATGATAGATCTCATTTTAACTTATCTAAGTGAACATGTAGCTTGTAGACTAGTGTAAAAGTAATAAGTTACACATATTATTTTGCTATGCACAGACATCTTCTTATTTTTAAGATGGTTTTAAGGCAAGGAAAATTCTTTACATTTTTTATTCACTCAAAAGTTCACTGCTATACTAACGTCTCCTCCATAGATTGCCTCAAAATGAGATAATTGTCATAGGTGGTGGCGACACACACGGTCGGTTCAACTGATCATTCCAACTGATCAGTTCAAATTAGAGCTGTTGATATTTTTTAAAATATCGGATTTTCGATATATCGATAATTATAAATATATCAATATCGGAGTGTTATATATATGTCGCAGGTATATTGTCAAAGCCGTGATATTACAATTTCACTAGTGATATTAGAATTGAACGGTATATTATCTATCGACTTCATTTCTTACAATTTAACGGGCGCACTTCTTCGAATATAATCGTTTATAACTTTTTCAAAGCATTAAACGACATTTATATTTTTTTGTTAATCTACACAAAAAATTTAAAAAACTACTTTTTTTGAAAAAAAAATCACTTATTTGGTTATTTATCAATTTTTTAGCGAAGCGAGCTCGGGACTTAGGGCATCCGTTCTCGGACTTGTTAGGTTAGAAGGAGATGGCAGGGTCGAGTGAGCGAGCGATTAGGGAGGAATAGGCTCCCACGAAGCGGTGCTCCGTCGACAGGGCCCGTTAAATTGTAAGAAATGAAGTCGATTGCTAATCTACCATTCAGTTATATATATATATATATATATATATATATATATATATATATATATATATATATATATATGTGTGTGTGTGTGTGTGTGTGTGTGTGTGAAGCCGTGATTAGTGAAATAGTAATATCACGGCTTTGACAATATACCTGCGACATATATAAGTTTATTTATCGATATATCGAAAATCCGATATTTAAAAAAATATCAATAGTCCTAGTTTGAACTGATCAGTCGGAACAATCAGTTGAACTAACCTTGTGTGTCGTCCATTAGAATCGTAGTTTTTAATTACTAGCATTGAGTTTTTATTATTAAGATGCTACTGTCTAACTCCTGTTTGAGTTTCTCTCTACACGACAGTGACGACACCCACGGAATGATATGGAGTAGTGAAATTTGAAAAGCTCATTAACCTTTATTTAGTTGAAACCAATCATGTCAGCCTCGAGCTCAGACGCAGAGTAGCCAGCCTGTCGTTATTTAGGAATTACATGCTTTAATCCTTCCCTCTCTTTTCCACCATCGAACAACCAGCCGCTCGGCTGGTCTTCACCCCTTTGTGGTCGATGTTCCACATGTTAGAACCAAACGATTTGCTATATTTTTTGTAATACGTACAGCAAAGGAGTGAAATAATTTGCCGGCGTCTGTCTTACCGTCCGAATACAATCTGAGCGTCATCAAGGCAAGAGTGAATAGGTTTTTATGGAATAGGAGTGAATGGGGTCACTTACATCACCACTTGCCAACGGGTGGAATTTTCGTCAAGCACTGGCTTGTAATAAGTAAAAATAAAATTCATTAATAACAGCCAATCAAAGTGAGCCGTGGTAGCTCAGATGGTTAGCGCGGTAAAAGAATACATCGTGAGGAAACCTGCATGTCTAAAAATAAGAAAAAAAAATATTTCGAAGACATGTGAAGTTCGCCAACACGCATTGAGGCAGCGCGGCGGACAATTCCTTGCCCTAAAACCCTCTCAGTAATCAGCGTAGGCCTGTGCCCAGCAGTGGGACGTATATAGGTGGTAACTTTAACTTTTTACCTTTAAAGTCTACTACTGAACATAAGGCTCTCCAAAGCATTGGGAGGTATATAGTTTCCACGTTTGTCTAACAAGTTGGTCAGGTCCCACAATTTTTTTATTGTTTAGTTGTTATAGAATGATTTCTTATATTTACGCGAACATTGAACATGATTAAAACTACTTTTACGGATTTTACCGCGTTTATTTTTACTTTTTATTTTTAATTCCCGACGTTTCGGGCGCTTTCCAGCACCCATGGTCACGAGGGACTGAGATGACTGACGTCCCGATGTCATTGTTAAACCCGGAGTACCTTCAGCTTTTTTAATTATTGTTTATGGTCCGATCTATTCAAAATGAACTGACTATGTCTTGAGTTCTTGCAGTGGTATGCTTGAGTTTAGTTTTAATTTTATTGATTATAGGATCCCAAGCAGGTGGTAGTACCCAGCCTCCTTCTCTATTGAAATTAGGATGTTTTTTAATTTCAATAGCCTCACGTATCATCCTTGGTAGGAATCGGTGTTCTTTCGCGAGGATTTGTGGTCTATCAAATCTGATACCAACCATTACATCAGTTTAGATAACTTAGGCCCTCTCTACAAATGGCGGCTTTCGTTATATAATACTCTGTGGCGACGATTAATACCGCGAAACTAATTGGCACACTAGAGAGTAGAAACTAAATTCAAACAATGTTATTATAGCTCCGATATGCTAAAATAGGAATAATAATTGATACTTTGGCAGTGGGCGAATTTATTTAAGTTGTATACTAAGATTACTCTGATATTATGTTAGCAAAATATTATAATAAAGTTTACGATAGTGCAGGTAGTAGGCACTATTCATACTTTCTTTATTCAGGAAAATTGTCCGTTTATGAAGAATGGTTCTCCTTAAGTCCTTAAGTCAGCTCAAATTCTAATTTCGCCCCACTTGCCCGCGCGTCGTATGCTATGTACCGACATGTTTGTAATCACTAATACTGAAAGTAGATAGGTCGTTAGACACTTATTTCATAAGGTTTATCATATTTATGCCTGTTTCTTAACGCCAAGCCAGTCGCTTCTTATTTTTATTACGGTTATTTCCCATTTTAATTTTACGTCGTCCTGTTGCGTAATGTGTATTCTGATCCATTCAAAGGCCGAAGCGAAACTGACCGGGCGGCAGGAATCACGCTTCAAGAGGCCGATAGTTTAGGTAATTTCTTTTTACAGTGAAAATAATGGTATTTTAAAAAAAGTATAAGCACTGCTTTATATTGAGTTCAGTTAGTATGAAAAGTTTCATGATCTTATTTAAAGTATTTTATGAATAACAGCGGTTTATTGTTTATTTTGGAGGCAACTTTGGATTTTTTTTTCTATCGAGAAAATTTTACGGAATCGTGTTTTCGTCTAACATAATCCTTAACATTAATCCTCAACTTTACCATACCTATATTTATTTCAAAATTAATGTTGCAATATTTTCGGCATAACGGAGGTTCTTGCTAAGCCATTTGAGGTTATATTTCCCCTTAATAGAAATATATAAAAGTTTCAGAGATGATTTTAAATTTGATTGAAATTCATGAATTTGTTGGTCGTGTTTCTTACTTACATTTTATAAGTACAATATTATTACGAAAGTAAAACTTCAATACTCATATGAGCCCTGTTAATGTATAAGATTTAAGAGTACTTTGGTATAATTTGGATCGTGATCAAACTTTAGCGGTCTTGGTTGGATTTAAAAAGTTATGTCGTTAGGAACTTTTATGCATTACTGGCACTAACGTGGATATTGATGAGTAAAGTGGATATATAACTTAGTATTCTTGTAGTAGTAAAAAGTTTGTAGTAGCGAATTAAAATTATTTAGCCATTAAAATTACATTAAAATAATTTTAAAATAATAAGCTTTTTAAATAGTTAACGGTGAGTAATGGTACCACCTATTTACTAAAATGCTTCTTTTTAACTTTATCATTTTTAAATCCATTGCTATTTATTTTCGTTTTTTCTTTATACGTAGATGTAATAGATAAATACATAAATTTCACAAGGACACACATCCAGACCTGGAACAATTATTTTTGAGGCGTACAAATATTTGTTCCGTGTTGAATTCGAACCTGTGGCTCTTAATGAAACCTATTTATTGCTAATCCACTGTGCGACGAATCCTTCAATTTGAATTTTGGCATGCATTTCATGAAACTTAGAGAGTTAGTGAGCAAAGAGCTGATTTCTGTACCCTCATACCGGTTTTGGCATATTTAAATAAAATTTTTCAAAACCAGTAGTCAGTTTCGTCCGTTAGTCAGTAAGTTGCAAAGCATGAAAGCGGAGTGGAGATTTGGGAAAAACCTATTTTATTCCTGTTATATGTACTAATAATTTGTAGAAAAGTTGCTATTTATTGTATCTATTATTTCCTTGAAAATAATATGCCACCTGTGTTATTTGAATAGTACACTGTTGTAAAAGGAGACTAATAAAATATTGCGTAAACCTGGTCCGAGTAGTATTTACGTTGCTCTTTAGACTCTGCCTAATAATAATATTAAGACATACACACATTTTGAAACAAAAAGTTGTCTTTTCCGACAGTAAAGAGGCGGATGTTTCTTTTTTATATCATGTCCAGAATAGTAATAAGTTTCTCAAGAGGAAACATCCAGACCCAGAAAAATTATTTGTAGGCCATACAAATGCTTATTCCGTGCGGGCTGCGGGCTGCGACCTTCATGCTCCAATCAGACAGAAAACTGGTGATACACAATTTCTCTGGAAGCCCATAGGACGGACGGAAGCTTCAAGACAAGCGCTTTGTACCAAATCA